TATATATATATATATTTATATATATATATATATATGGCGAATAATGACTTTATAGGTTGACAGAGTTGAGCTTTTACTTAAAGCCAACAATCTAAGAAATAAATGCGCAATGTTTACGTGCAATGCCGGAGAAAAACTACCTGAAGTGATAAAGCGAGAGAGAGAGTACAACAACCTACTTGGTCCGTGCACCAGTACCAAACGTTACTGATTGTCAAACCAAATATGACACCTGTCCAAGGAAGGTCCTGGTCATCCACAGAGCGAAACATATGCATTGCGTCAGGTGCCGGAATACCACATTCTCGGTATTTTCTATCTACCGGTGGAGGATATGGATTATCCAGCGCGTATGTTGAGTTCCAAACGACGCCTTCGCCACGAAGGAGACGAGTAGTATTTGGAACTGCCTCGAAGTATTTCTGAACCATTGAATCAAATCCACCAACGCGTATGAAGGCTGAAAGCATCCCAAAAAAGAAGGAAAAACGGATGATTGTCTTACTTTGGCTCGCACTTGCTTAGTGATTAAGGAGCAGGGCTCATGGTCCAAATCCAACCCAATCCTCTCGGTTGCTCCTGGAAACCCAGAACTATCCCAGCCGTCGTTCAAACTTCGGATAGCACGATAGCTGAGCAGCGCAGGGGCGTTACAGCTGAACGGCCATAATAGTAGATTTCACGTGGACTAGAACGATGAAACACAAACAACTGAATATCTCCTCATCCGGCTTTTGCTATTTACTTTCGCCCGTCCTTTCTCCCATAATTTACCATCTCTCATTATCCCATACTAGCTGAGGTTTCTAAGTTGCTCTGTTCAAAAACAAAAACAAAAAAACTAATGTTTCATTACCAGATACCAAACATCAGCGATCAACGCGGATAAAACTTGGGGACCACTAAAGGCCCCAACATGATGTGAACTTTGGTCACTTTTTAGGAAGAAGGATGTCCAATCGCAAGCAACGTAGTGAAGACGGCAGTAAGGATGGCGGTTTTATGGAAGTGTTTACAATAGACTTTTATGGGACTGTATCCAAACGAACAATTTCCTTAAATTTGTTTGTCTCCTCGATTCCAGTGTACCTGACAAGTCTGACTGATACATGGTTAGAGACCAATAATACTCACCAGAATTACACTTACTGTTCGGCAGTGAATCGCCAAATTTATCAGTTGTGATCCATGAAGTGATATCTTTTGAACAATGAGCATTTCAGATGGAACAACTATCTTCAGGGGACAGTGTCAAGTAACCACATGAATTGGGCGATCAGTATGAGAGCATTTTTGACGATAATTAAAATTACTATAGATGGAGACCAATCAGTATACCACTGTCTCATGTGAGAACAGTAAACCTGGTTTCAGAATTTATAGTGACTCACTAGAGAAGAGCACGGCCATGTAAAATGAGAACGATTTCCATCCACTGATTGTCAACCCTCAGGTTTGATATACACCACAAATATATTTTAAGGGAAATTTTTAGTTGCATGCTCGAAATAACTTGTTGTGGTCTTTGTTCGTGGGAGGATGAAAAACCGTAAACAAACTGGGCTCTAATAAAGAGTTACCTGCCAACCTACGACAATATTATATTTCCGAAGTGGTTATCTGCATATTTGTATCTGACACTTGATAGGCAGTGGAATCCCGAAAGACCATTATGGGTGTAATTTAATTACTTTAAACTGATTCCTTACAACCAAGCTATGCGAATAAGTAATCTGTTTTTTTATTGCCTTATCCAGAGTGGCAAACAAGGACTGACTTATCTTGATCATTCGTAGGATTTGCAAGAATATATTAGTAGTGCTCCTGCAGGCGATGTTCATGATAGAGTTCCGTGTGCCTGGTCTTCGTCTAGCTGCGGAAGCCTCAACCTATGTCAGAACGTCGATCGCAGGAGTGTTGCCTTAATCTGGACAATCCAGTTCTCCCTTCTCAAAGAGTTGTCTCGTCTCAGTATTCTTCCATACCTATGTGTCTGTTACTAAGTTTCGTAGCAAAATAGTTGTTGCAAAGAGGGAACCAACATGAAAAAACAACACTTCATGTCTCTTACCTCGTCTTTCCTAGCGCTGAGCACTTTTCCGAACAGTAACTCCTTATAATCAGTGAACAGGTTGCGGTAAGTAGCACAAAAATTAGAAAGAATGCATAAATGAATTTTTTAGTTATTCATTGGTACGACTAGTTTTGTGCACATCAGTTAACCATTGCTAGAAAACCAGACGAGCATGCCAATTAACATGTATGCTAGTAGTGCCACACGTTGCTTCGGCAAGCAAAAGATTCATATAGACATTTTAGGGCACTTCATCATTGTATAACCACTTATTGGAAAAAAATCTATCAGAAACGGATGCTGCCGATTGAAGTTATTTCTTGAAACTCCTCTTGTGCAACCCACATGCCTAAACCATAATGTCCTGACCTCCATCAATGTATCTACAAATGGATGTGCATTAAAAGGGTTTTCAGTTGGCAGCGCATTCTTCAAACAAGGAGAGTAGTTTCGAGCAGAAACGATGGCGTTTTGGTCGTCCATTTTCCAGGCTGAGCCACAGTTTATTAGGCAGAATTCTTCCGTGTTTGCTTAATTCAGAGCGATACGGAAATGAGGTGGTGATAGAACGGTTTGTTTGAATGACTACAAGTAATTGCAAACCTTCAGAATATGCTTTATTTGGCGGAATATTCTGCGACCGATACTGAGTGATTCTTATTGATTGAGACTGATAAGGAGACAACACAAGCTAACAGCGACTGTTCACTTTTGGTTTCTTTTCATTTTTATTGGGTATAGGATATCCAGGCAATTCCGTAGCTAAAGTTGAACCCGTTTTCCCTCCATTTTAATCCGTTATCCAGACTTTGGTCTTCCCAAACGAAACCTCTATTGTACTAGCACCACTGTCTTGATATCCGACATGTTTTGGCGGCTAATTTCGATTACGTCGATGACATCAATGACGGTTTTAGCTGTAGTCGTAGGAATAACCACATTAATGAAGAAAAAGTTAAAGACCAAACAGATTTCTAGGCCACACTCTAGCGCCGAAAACAGAAAGTAGCCCCGTGGTATCGTATTAGCTAATTTGATAAGCATTAAAGCAGAGAGAAAGCGAATAATCTATCCCTGTTTCATTCTCTGTTGGCTTCAAAACATTATTTTACAGACGTTCTAATGCTAAGCCTGGATTTCCCTAGCATATGGATTCAGCGTCTATCTTCCTATCCGTCTTTTGATACCGTGAGATTTGACTGTGTCTTGAAAATATGGTTAAACTAGCTGCAAGTGCATTATTTTGACTAGACTCAGAAAAATGGTTAATGTACGGGCAGTGAGAATCTGATCCAGTTCCACCTTCGGTTTCATGGAGAATGAACTGAGAACATCTGGCTTAAAATCATACGTTGGCAAGTTAGACGGGTGTTTCCAATGAAATTAAGAAGGCAAGAGACAATGAGCTCGTCAGCTGCGAAAAACGAACTTACAATTCATACATCTCACCTAACTTTCCTTTTGTCCTCTGAATTGACAGATCCAGCAGTAAAAAAATTGCGGGCCCATCGTAAAATCGCAAAAGATGCATACTAAATCATTGCAATCAAGATAGCGGCTAGCACTATGCAAGAAAGTATTCACCATTTTGCATAGGTCGACAAAGTTAGGTAGCCCTACATGGTGAGTTGCTGTTATTCAAACCTCGCAAAGTCTTCATTGGGTTCACGAAGAAATTTGTGCGCAACGTTTCGTGCCTAACTCGAACAAACGTGGAAATCGATCATGCCGATGTCTGATAAATACCAGAGCTGCTCCATGCTGAACAGCATAGTACCAGCCACGTCGACAACGCGGTCGATGAGAAAAGAATTCATATATTCATTGCCATTGCTTTGATTTGCAGTTAGTCTCAGCGAACGAACCAGGAGAGAAAACAATGACAGAATGCACCTTGAGCACACATAGTTGGTTCGGCGAAGAATTGAAGAAGACGCATATTTCAACGAAATTAAACTATATGGCCGGAGAATAGAATATAACTTCATTTATAGCTACAAGAAAAAACAATCTTTTGCTGCTTGCAATGTCTTCAGCAATCAGTCAAAAGAAGAAAGTAAGAAAGTCCATCTGTTTGGTGTCTAGGGATAAGGCCACAGGTAGATGTATGAATTTTTGCTGTCCTGGCTGCTAAAGATATCTGCAAAACCAGATAAAAGTGGGAAAAAGTCTAAAAGATCTTGTTGACCCAGATGGAATGTTTTTATACCTTGAAAATTTGGCTTACAACGGTTGGAGTTGGTTTTGAACTGCTGGGTCTTCATGCAATCTACGACATCAGGCAAGCAAAAAGCATCTGGGCGACAGTGTGCCCGGAACTTTTATGCTAATCGTTCTTTAATGGCTGCAGCGAAACCATATATTCCAGCTTATCCTTCTCCAACAGGACACCATCGCAAGTTAAACTGGGTGTCACTTTTGTTCACGTGTTCTATGTATGGTTTACCACGGTCAATTATTTGCGTTTTCGAAGATTTTCAGACCTCCCCTTTTGATAAGGTTCCTTGAGACCAAATAATTTCAAGCAATATAGATAGCAAATAACCAACTAGGATGTTATTCACGCATCAGGGTATCACGGTTTGAACTCACCTACAACCATCAAATAGAATGCTCCACACATCATCAAGATGGTCTGAATAAAGTCTGTCCATATCACCGCAGTCAGTCCACCTGGAAGCAAACAAGACTGAATCGAACTGTGATGAATACTGAATGGCGCTGTCAATTACGGATTCAAACTAAGCTAAACGACACCAAAGGACCCGTCAAAATACATCGTTTGCCATTGGTTAGACCAGTTGTTCCACTGGGAATGGTCGTATCAGTGTCAGACTCTGCTGGCAATTTGCTTTTTGGTTTTTGGTTCTACTGGTGTCTATTCCAGCCTTCATTCGCTCAAAGAACGTGGGAAGATTTCCCAACATTTGAATGGAATCAAGAAGGTCAACGGATAAGCAAACTAGCCAGTTACTTTGAGCACCCTGAAGGACCGTAGTAATTGGTGATTTAGTTTGCATGCAGAAAAAGACTCCTACTGTGTGGTTACATGCTTATCTCAATTAACTTGCCAAGCCTGTTCTTCATTAGCCCTATTCAAAACACTACTGCTCAAGTGGTAAACGTACCGTCAGCATACCAGCTCTATATGAAACTTCGTCAGGCATTATAGAGTTCAGTTAAAAACTACCTACGGTGGTCCTTCAAAAGAGCGTTCCTACATACATATGGCTTATTGAGCTGTATCTGATAAAGGATACATTCTGAGCATCCTGGTGCTGAACGTTCGCCCCTTAGATATAAGTCGTTGCTAAACAAAACGAAAATGAGTTCTAATGTGGTTTGGTTAGACCCGTTTGACATTTAAAAACTGCTTGCCTACGCGGGAACACAGATACGGTGGCGGAAGATTATTCAGCAGCCTGGCTAACACCTTAAAGCCGGTACTTACCATAAACACTAAAAATGAATGAATGGTTGTCAGAGCTAAGCAGTTCGATTGTAAACAGACTGCACCGATCCTCAAACAACTCTGACCATCATTACAACCGGTCTACCACTATCCTGTTCGACTGCAAATGAGAATATGTTGCTAAATCTACGCTTTATACGGTTGTTTAAACTATTATTCAATTGATGACTTACCCAAAATGGTGAATAGTCCGGAAATTACCAGAAGAATAATAATTGCCAAGTAGAGATTGATTTTTACGGCTTGATCAATGAATATTGCGCCAGCATATAAATCCGCCTGTAATACAATAGTAAAGAAAGTGTCGCCGCATGACAAACGATAAGTGAAACATAGTCATACTTTACATATGTTCTAAAGGGCAGCTTAACCACAAGTCGTCTAGTGTGGATCGGACAAATGTCTTCCATCTTAGGTTCGCAGTTCAATAATCCCTCCATCTCTGTACTGATGTCTGTTCTTTATCATTTGCTTTATAGGTCATATACTTGTTTTTCCTAGTAACACAATTCATCTGGTTTCCATGTCACCGAACTACAGCCTCTGGTTTGAATCCTTTCGTCGAGCTTGGCGCAAGGCCGCCAAACTTTCAAGGCTAAAATCATCATTATTAATAGGACGAATGCATGGTGACAGACCCTGATGGACTTTCAAAACCTTTGTGCCACAGTGAAAATTGGTCTTCTAAAACACCTACAACGACATATCTTCCGGTGACACTCTTTGCCAATAAAGTGATGCTGATAAGTTTCCTACGGAAAAAAACATGTGAAAGCCACTGCTGTCCGATAGCACTTCTTTTGACAACTGAACATAGAAATCCAAGGAAAAATCGACAGATATGTGACTTTCACAACTTTGCAAAGGAAAGAAAACTGCCAGTATTTGTGGCCTAAATATGGTGACAAACACCGCACACTGCCAGCACTCAGAAACTAGGCAGCGTAATTGACGGATTTCTGCGTTTGAAAACCGCCTCAAACGTCAAGCTACAATCGGAGCAAAATTCAAGTCTGAGGACCTTAATTTTTGTTGTGAATTAATCAGAATACTCGCTTCAGTGTCAACAAAGAATTGGTAAAATAGGTTGTGCGAACACAGATAAATTACCATAAAGCACAAATTTTTGGTGGGTAGATAAAATAAATTCTTTCAGTTAAACCTACTCACTCGAATTCACAAATAGAACCGCTAAATTGCCAAGTTGTGGTAATCATTGGATATTATCTTAAGAAATCGCTTCAAACAGTTCGACTAGTGCAGCCTAACCATTCATGATACGCTCGACACTGAAGAAGACATATGAACGTCCATCTTTATTCCTTGTGTATTATCTTCCATCACATCCAACAGCAACCAAATCTTGGCTGGTATCGTATTATTGTTTACTTTTCTAGCCAGATTTGCGAACCGATACAAGCTCTGGCTTCATCCGTGTGCCCAAATTACGAGCACTGAAGGTATGACGAACTGAAAGCACCTTCACAATTTCATCTGGTAAAAACCGCCCTTATAGTTGACCTCTTTTGGTTGAACTAGTGTAGTCCTAAAAAAATGGAGCCCATACTAGACAGTGGTGCACATACTCAGAAGATACCACTAGTATTACTATAACGTACTATAAAGTCGCAAAATTCTTTGTGGATGGATATTTTTGGCATTTCGCTGTAGCTCCCATAGTCACCACGACGTCTGCAACTGTCTAAAGAATAGGCCTTACAATAGGAAAGGGTCATTTGACGTAGTAGCTTGTCAATTAGAGAGCAGATTTAAATGTTGGGAGAACAAAACTAACGTTACATTCGGTCAGTTTCGGTAGTTACTTGGGGGCTTGCATCATGGAGGTGCAACATTTTGCGGCATCATCAGAGAACGCTCTTTATTTCATCCCTTTTGTTTATTGATTGACCAGCCCATGGCATGGATTTGATGCACATCATAAACGTCTAACGAGTTATATTTAAGTAGATTACAGTGAGACAACTATGCGATAACATTCCAGTCTTCCACACGACTGAGCAACCAAGAAGTAAAACCAGGGGAAATGATAAATGTATAGAAATTTTCAGCAGACATGTTAAAAGAACTTCACAGTAAAATGATTCAGTGATCTGAAATGGAAGTTATTTCTGCAAAGTGAAGTGGTTACGTACCGGAGCGCTTTGTCCATGCTAGGGTTTTGATAATCTCAAAACATTTCGCTTTCGGTTTTCACAGATATTTGCACCCATTCTCAACTTTCATGCTTATTTAATCTATCAGGCCAAGCTGTACTTTATCTCGGTTTAAAGAGTTCAACAAACGTGGGCTTGGTACGGAAAGATCTGTTATACAGTTATCTTCCTCGAAGCGTTCATATAATGAAATCAAAATCGGAAGCATTCAAGAGACTTGTGAATTTTACGTTGCTTTTCTTTGGTTTGAATGGTGAGTTTTTGTAAAGCTCGTGGATCATGACGTGCGCTCAGTTTAAAATGTCGCTGGTCAGATATCAGCTACGTCAACAGGAAGTAAGTCAATCGGACCATTCACAAAAGACCCTTGGAAATGGTCAAATGAGAATGAGGCTACACATAAAACTCAGTCTAAAAATACACTTCAGTCTTGCTAACACGAACTATGGGTATTTTTGGGTTCAGTGCCACTCTGGAACTCAATCCAAATGTCCCTAATCTGTGTTCCCAATAGAGTCAATGTAGTTAGGGGACTGAGTCGCGCTAAAGCTTCTGTAATTTTAAATGCCTTTAATGTTTTATAGAAATTACGGAAACCTGTCTTAACATAGGGCAAGTTAGTTGCTTTCTGAAAATACTTCGATGACAACAGACCATGTCCATCAACAAAATCACAGAAATCACGTATTTCCCACCTTATCACAAATAAATACAGGCGAGTGGTAATGGCTGCTTTAAGAAACGAAACTAAAAATATTCAACGGTGGGCTATGGACACTGACGTGGTGCTTAGCATCTTATATTAGCGAGTTTTCAGGGGCGCCCGCAAACATACCACCTAAGACTGATGGAAAATTTATTAAACTGGATCAGGCTTACTGGCAGGGTGTATGCGAGAAGGTTACGTGACGATGAAGAAACCGCGTTGTGCTACAAACTCCTCCTGAACATGACCTTGAGGCTTGACTGGGCGATTATAGTGGATAAAAATTATCCAAGGGCTGTGTCGCTATAATTTCTAGTCTAATCATAAGAAGTCACTCCCACTTTTGGTCACAGGTAAGTGTGAACCTCCAAGAGGCCCTCGGTTTCTTCTGAGCAAACCAACCTTCATTCTGGTGAATAAGATAAAGAAATTTGAAACAAGACTGATAGGCAAAAAGCCATCTAGATACATCTGGGCGATAAATTATTGACGCACTTGCTTGTTAGCGTAATATTTGTGTTGCTTGAATGTACAGGTCAGTTTTTCTCACCATCGTTATCAATCATAAAAAACAATAAAGCAAGCATCACCACTCACATATTCGCAACCAATAAACCCACCTAAGCTACCGATATTTTGAAATATTAATAATGGCATTTCAGTATACAGAAGACGCATTCTGGCAAACTGGTAAAACCAGAAAGAAGATGGGTTTATTGTTAGCTCCCCAGAGCGTTCACATATGCTTAAGCATGCGTATATCCAGTCATCATCATCATCATCATCATCATCATCATCATCGACAGCATGACACGTGTTTAGCACCGATGCTTCGCTGCCGTACAGCCATGATTCATTTGAAAGCCTTATTGTAAAGAAAAGAGTAAAGGTGCTAGTTTGGTACTAGCTTACCACAATCAACCTCCAGACAACCCAATTAAAACATCTGAAAAAAAGCAAAGAGAAAAACTCGTCCTTAGTTTGGTTCACATTTTTTGAAGTCGCAAGTTAGTAGAGTCACTCAAAATTAATCGCAACGTATTGAGCCAAATCAAAAATTCTCGTTTGTAGTCTTTCAAAAAAACCATTCCATCACCATCTCGTTTCTTCGCCTCTCTAAATTAAGCAAAAATATCAGAGTACTGTGGCTCAGCACGAACATTCCATAACGTTGAGTTTGGTGCTCTAAAATATACTTCTCGGGAGTGTGCAGCGTAATTAGAGACCCTTCCAGTGCGAATCCATATGAAGCTTCGTTAATGGCAGTCAGCATATTATGGTTTTGGAATGTGGGTTGCACAAGAAGAGTTTTAAAAACCGTTTCAATTATGAGCATCATTTCTGACCGGTCTTTTCAAAATAAACAAGTGAGATAATAAAATACTTGAAAAAATGCAGACGAAGGCTAATCGGCGAAGCAACCCGTAGCACCAACAATATACACGACTGGCTCGCATTCAATCAAATTTTTGAAAGTCAGACCAAAAATCGAAAACCCCGAGTTTCCGTCAACCTTATGTTCATTTAAATTCTGTAGGAATATACAACGTACTCACATGTTCACGTCAATAGAGCCTGTGTGCATCTGCTGGTGAGTAGATTGGTCACTGGAAGACCTTCTACGTGGTCGCATATGGGAGTATCACGTTCACTTCTCTCCAAAAAGGTGCGCGTAAGGCGCTCAACACCTGGCACACACACATAAAGTTGGGTTGCGCGTTAGTGAGCGGATTCCAATGGATATCTAGTCACAACCTTACTTCTCATGTCGCCGAAGAGATTTTGCAATCTCTTCAGGACAGACAATATCATTTTTTTAAAGAATATATATATATATATATATACCGCGCAAATTCTGTGGCAGTTGACTTCCCTCTTCATCTTTAAGGTGCCTTTCCGGTTTATACAAATACGGAGGAAGAATGTGGCAAACCCAAACATCCAAGTGCATATACTTGAAGTTACTTCCAGCACGATTGGAAACTCGTTGCCATTGTCGAACGACAAGTAAACGGGAGTAATTATTGTCTCAGTAATTCAGTTGCGTTGATTAAAAGTTTGACAAAATGTGTATGGCCTAAGAATGGTCTAAGAATACTGAGGAGAAATTGACCTGAACGATGGTGATACTCGGTGATTGCACTGTAATGGTAATGACGATATACGCAAAGCAGGAGTAAAGAGTAAGCGAGAGAGGAGCATGAGTTTGACGACAACAAGAAAAACTGTAAGTAAACGGCACTGAGAAGCAAGATGACGATGATTTCAACGTTGGTTGATTTGTGGCCATTCTACTGACTCCTGTGAGAACAATAAGCGAACAGAAAAAAGTGTTTGAACAAAAGACGATTATAGCATTTTGTTAACACTTCTTTATGTGGTACTATCCAGCTTCAAAA